CTGTATTTAGATAGTCTCCAAGCATAGACAATGGGATCCAGTTATTCACATCTGACTTCAGTGCTACAGCACAAAGCTTTCCTAAGCGCACTTCTATATTTAGATAGTCTCCAAGCATAGACAATGGGATCCAGTGCAAACTTGATAAAAATAAACTGACTCAAGACAACCTCGGCTTGCCACAACTGAAGACTCTTACTACATACCAGGCAATAGAATTTAAGATACCATACTACTGTGATAGGGAGTAAATGGACTGTGGTAAGGAAAGTGAAAAGAAAGATAATCCATCGAACGCGTCGCTCCATATCCGATGATGTTCCTGCGTTAGCCGTGTCGGTAGGACCTGGTGAACCGGTCTCTGACGCTTTACGTATAACGGAAGACCTGGAGACGCGCTGGCTTTGTCTCTTCAAAGCAAGGAAAAGGCAGACGTAAGAACAGATCAATAGCAGCGAGATGACTGTTGTATTGAAATGAAGATCTATTTGATAGACTATGATTTCTGGGATGTCCATGAATGGGAGGAGCGCAAATATCATCTCGTATAACCACAGAAAAACGATGAAGATTTTGATTCTTCGAGTGTTAACCCATTTCTTGTACTGACCCGGGCGGTAAATAACGAGAAAGTGTTCCCATGAAAACGCGCAGATACTGAATACAGACGCGTTCATGGTCACCATCGAAGTAGCAGCAGCAATCTTGTGAACCTGAACCATGGTTCTTTTCAAATACAGCATGTAGAAATAATAGCCGGCAAAAGGCTCCACTGCAAGACCTGTGAGAAAATTAGCTACTGCCATGCTCATCAGAAGGAAATTGGATGGCGCACGAAGGAATGTGGAATGGTTCTTGATGAAAGTCAGAAGAAGGAAACCATTGCCGAGGATGGTTATAGGAGAAAGTATAGTATAGTAGATGGCAATGGATAATGGAATATGCCATGGGGTTGTGATATTACCAGTAGAACGACCACTGTCACTGCCTCCTGGAATGATTATATCACTCTTGTTCATCGTCAGTGTTCATCAACACAACCAGCCTTTCTTCCCTATTCCTTAATCGACGCGATATCAATCGCTCTACACGAAATCAGCGCAAAGATTCTTAATACACAACCAACTCTTTTCCACAGCCTTTTGTATTTAGAATATCTTCTTTCCCAAGGTTTAAGTACTCAGGTCGTAGCGCAATCAAGTTTTGAAGTTCAATCGTTGGTTGATATTTTTTTCCGAATGAGAATAGAAACAGGAACTTTCAGTTCCTTCAGGTGTATTTGTATTAATCGGCTTGTATATTGGTTATATTAGCTAGTAGTGCGTCACACGGTAAACAGGTCGAGCAAGAAGTGATTGAGGCCTTAACGGCACTGTCTAATGATATATGGACTACAAGCAGCTGATAGAACATACTATTCAAAACACAACAAAACTACTCCACTTTGACCATCAAATGCGTCATCTTTTGTCATTATCGCTCACTTACAGAGAATCAATGTTTTTGGTAGCTGATAAATTACAAGCGATTACACACGAGACTAGGAAATTAATTCAAGTGGAGTAAAGAGCATTGAAAATTAGCGAGGAGACGCGAGGAGACGCGAGGAGACGCGCCGAGTACGTGCAGATTTTTTTCTAATTTCCTGTTTTCATTGCAAGTACATTTTATCCTAAAGTCATTAAGGCTGTCATCTACTTGTCTGGGGATTGAAGAAAGACTATTTATACATCTATTTATACAAGATGTAGACACAGATGAACAGAGCATTCAAATATACCGTATCATAAATCAGAGCAATTTTGGCCCATATTCTAGAGAATAGAAAGAGGGAAGAGAGAGAGAGAGAGAGAATGGGAAAAAAATTACCTCGCATGTGATTTTTTCAATAACTTTTCTTTTTATAGTTATTTAATAAAAAAGCTTCAAAATCTAAACAGGATGAAACAAAATATATGGAATACGAAGATAATTCAGAACAGGAAACGAAAATAACGAGGGAACATAATTAAGTTTCGGAACAAAATATGGAATAGGAATAACTTTCCTAATATTCTTCATGTTAATGCAATATATCCTAAACTCAAGATTCATTGTTCTGAACATAGAACATTCATGACTAAATTAGAACTGCTTTATTCCCGTTAGCCGACAGGAAACGGGTTCGATCATTTCTAGTTTCACTGGTAGTAAATTCATTACACGTAGGTCAGTGTAAACAGAAATTTAATGAGAACTTTTTCCGTGAAGACAATAAAGACATCCGTGTTTGTAGTTCGTACTCGTAGATTATGGCTTCTAAAATTAGTTTTCTCTTACGCACGTACTTAAGTAATCTCTCTCTTTATACTACCATAGTCACTAGTAGTAGATATACTATATAATATACTACAATATCATCTTGCATTGAGTTTTCCTAACTTTATACATTACTTATATAACTTATTCATTTACCTCCTCTATTTACCGCAAATCATGTACTTAACATAGAGCTTTGAATACGAGACGAAATCGTGGCATGCTTTGAAAGTCAGGCCATAACGATCGAAGCCACGGAGAAAGGGCCGTGGGAGGGGTGAGAAACGAGGGATAAGTGATTGACCACACCCACTATAATGTCATTTTAGAAGATTCGCCTAACATCAGCTAACATATAAGATCTATTTACCATACTGCACTAATACATAATACAGCACTATGGATAAGATCCGACAAACTTTAAAGCAATATATATCTATTTACCTAACGAACGAGGCGTGATTGTCAGCCCTCAGCCATGGTAGTTGTTTTGTTACATGATCTCTTATCGACGAAGAACTGGGAAGGAAAAAATGAAAAATAACATCTTGGAATAACATCGGGCTATTCCTGTTATGGGAGGCCTGTGGTGTGGTGATGTAGGGGACTGGTAACGAGCAATGAAAACCGTGGAAAAGTGAAATAACAAAAGAACTTCATCTTTACCTTACGTACTGCTGCAAAAGCTGGGCCAAAGCGTGAATAATGCTGCATCCTACTGCCTATCCATGATGGCAGCTTGTTATATACCCTAGGTGTGCTATAACGATGGTCTAGTAGAAGTATAGTGGCATAGTCTTGACGGTGACGTATGGCACGACCTGGGGAAGAACAAACAGAATAACACGTGAAGACACATGAAGCTGAGGGTGACTGGGAAACATAATGAAATTCATACATGAAGTACTTACCTATCGATTGATTGACAGCCTTCATACACAGGTTTTCATAATACTCCTGTCCGGCTTTAGCCTAGGCACAAAACAAACAAACAATCAAAATAGTGAATAAATAATACCACGGTTTGCAGGGATATTTGGCAAAAGTACTATGAATGAAACCTAAAAATTTACTCGTAATATTGGGGATGGATGGAAATTTTTCCCGCCAAAGAATACAGAAACACCTTTGGTACCATCGAGAAACCTTCAAATTATCCTAACATAGCCTTTCCATCTAACAACGTTAAAATTTCGATGTTTCAAAATGATAGAATAAGAATGATAATCAGGGGCGTTGACAGGAATTTCCGAAAGGGGGAAGGGGGTCAAATTCATAAATCCGCATTTCGTTTGGGCCGCAAAAAAGACCAGTATCGTTTTTAATTTCGCACAATTTTATAGAAAAAAATTACCGTATAAATTCTAAAACGCCGCCAATTTAAAGGTGGGGAGGGGGGGCGAAACTTAAAATTGCTGTGTGTATTCTATAAACGCCGCCATTTTGTTGCCGCGAAAGGACAGCATGGCCCCCTCGACCTCCCCCCTCCCTCCCCCTGCCGGCGCCATTGGTAATTGATACCTTGATGAATATGGATAGAATGTAGGTATACCAGCAATACCAGAAGTATTACTCACCCCAATATTAGTGTTCAAGTAATTCATTTTTTCTTTCAATTCAGGAGAATTAATATTTGGATATGGAAGACCTATCATTACAACACACCTGGGCAAATAAAGAACAAAAGCTGAAACAACCCCCGGAATGATCAAGTCATGGTACGGCTAATTCACAGAATGAACCCTGCAACAATCTCTGGGCTGATCTAAGTCAGGGCACGGCTAACTCAAAGATCGAACCCTGAAACAACCTCTGGGCTGATCTAAGTCAGGGCACGGCTAACTCACAGATCGAACCCTGAAACAACCTCTAGGCTGATCTAAGTCAGGGCATGACTAATTTCACAGAATGAACCCTCAGGGTTGAAACGAGATACGGCAAGAGGTGAGAGAGAGTGTGTTCCACTACACATTCGTATGAAATGAGAAATGGCTGATTAAGAGATGTTGGAGTGGTTGTCATTACCTGCCCAAGTCATCGGAAAAGTTTATTCCTTCACTCATTTTTCCTCCCACAACACAAAGAAGGATGGCTCCATTGACTTGGGATTGTGTTCCCTGGTTCACAGAAGCACTTGTTTTCTGTAGACGGCAAAACATGGCACCTTATGCTTGTGCGTCATGTAACAACTGATCTTTCAGTGCGCAAAGAAAATAACGACAGCCACAATTATACCCCAGCATTGGAGCTCAATACAAACTATTTAATCGATATTATGTAGATATATTACCTTAATGAGTGCAGAGAAACTGGACAAGACCTGCTCTACTTGGCTTGCTTTACGTGGCTCCGTAAAGATCTAAAGAAAAGAAAAAGAAGATAGCAAAAGAGTGTACAAACTTCTGAATACTGGAATAAATACGACTCATCCGATGGAAATGCTAATACGGTAAGTTAGTATGGTATGTTTTACATTATCTGTTCAAAATATATATCCCATCCATTGAGCGAATTACAGCACGAGATGATACTAAATGTTGCTAGGACACGGCACGGTCACGCCCATGTCCCTCAAAATATTTACATCACGGTCACACCCATGTCCCTCAAAATATTTACATCACGGTCACACCCATGTCCCTCAAAATATTTACATNCCCATGTCCCTCAAAATATTTACATCACGGTCACACCCATGTCCCTCAAAATATTTACATCACGGTCACACCCATGTCCCTCAAAATATTTACATCACGGTCACACCCATGTCCCTCAGTGTGACCGTGATATTACCTTCTATTCAAATCTCTTTCCAAGGTTTTTTATCAGAACAGAAATACCTTTTTTCTCGTGCCTAGTTTCTCTAGAATTCCTGACTTTTCCCAGTGGCTGTAGATTTTTTGTGCGTAATCAAAGGACGAGAAGAAACACACGACACCCCCTGGTATGACGGCACATGTGTTTAACAGAACACGACCACACTCTTCAATCTGTAAAAGAAAAAAAATAACCAATCAGTTTTATATGCTCTCATCTAAACAAGCGGGATGCTGAGAGAATGTGAGAAGCGTAGGAAACCACACAGCGAAACCGCTTTTATAAAATAACAAGTGCAAAATTACACACAACAAACTATTTTATTTTTCGCATTTAGAGCACGCGTTAGAACCTATTCTTCCCAGCAGCACTTCTTCGGACCGACACTAGGAAAGGCTGCAAAGGAGACTAGTTAGAACTCAGTTATTTTGCAACATCTTTTCAGAAGACGATTATATTCTCGGACGATATCCCTCATCAAGTGCGCACTTTATCCCGCCTAATCTGTCTATCCTTCGAAAACCAATTATAGAGAAAACTAGTGTAGAAAGATTTTTAAACCAAAAAAGGATGAGAAAATCTGTCATAAAAAGACATTAAGCTTTAGAACAAGCATCATACTATACATACTAACCAGCTGTGGAGAATCCCTTGACTGATAAGTGAAATCTAGTTCAAGGCCAGAAGGACCTTTGCCCAACGCAATCGTCAACAGCTGTTCAGGAGAAATAACATGACCTAGAAAATCAAGGTAAGAAGCTATTAGGCCCAGATGTACCGAGCTTACAGTGTATTCTTTATTGTTTGTATTGCTTACCACAGGAGAACTCGTGCACTAGATCTGGACTGACACCAGCACAAGCGAACAACTGATCTTTAAATTCTGATGTCTATAAATATATAACGCGCATGGATGGGTTAGTTTTGGAGAGAAATGGGCGTAGTGGATTGACAGACTTCTCTCTCTACCCTCTGACACTTTTCTTCCTTGATTTTCCAGCGTCTCCCTCAACTCTATTTTCTCTGCGCACCAACTCTTTGTCTTCTCCTTCTTCTCCTCCTTCTTCTCCTTCCCTTTCTGCGCGCAGATTAACCTAAACATCTTTCTGTGTGTGCGCGTGCGCATTTCCTCAGATCATCCCCCAATCCCCAGACCATTTCTGTTTGCATAAGTGCTTAAGAAAATATAAACAAAAGATGGTTACCGGTTGCATGGTGCCACCAGCTACTATCACTGCTTTACTTTCTTGTACAACACTGTTGAAATTCACAGCAGGATTCAACAGCAGGAACTTGATGCTCGATGTACTCACGCGGTCTGGAAAATAAATGTGGAGGAAGTCAAGGAAAATGTTTTACTTGTCGTCCTTATCTTTATCCCCACAACACTACCACCACCACCACCACCACCGTCGTCATCATCCACCACCACCACCATCATCATCGCAATCCTCATCATCGTCATCCTTACCATCTGCTGCCACCACCACCATCACCACCATCATCATCATCATCGTCATCCTTGCCATCTGCTGCCACCACCACCATCACCACCATCGTCATCATCATCGTCATCCTTACCAACTGCCACCACCAACATCATCCTTATTATCCACCACTACCAACATCATGCGCGCGCCATTAAGATTATCAACCCCATCCCCAACATCATCATCATCAACATCACCCTCCCCACAACATTGTCCTTCCATCTGCATCACCACCACTATCACCACCATCATCTTCACCACTACTATTATCATCATGCATCATAATAATCATCATCGCCATCATGTTCTTCATCATTCTTACCTTGTCTGTTCACAACGACTCTCCCATCGACATCAGCGTTAGTAAGAGCTTCTAAGAAATTCTCAATGAAATGCATCGGTGACGTAAAACTTTGATAGGACGGCTCATCTGATTGGCTGCTCTCTGGAAAGTCAATTTGAAGTTCAGGTACTTCTAATTATTTCAGCTGTTACGAAGTTGAAAAAAACAGCACTTACCTTGAAATACTTCTTGTGGTCGATATTTATCTACAAAACCGTTGAGCTGAGAGAAAAGAGTTATAAACTAATGTGGTCAGTTCAAAACAATCTCCATACTATATCAAACGTTTGACCTACCTTTTTAGAGATCATGCTACGATGACAATATCTACCAATCTACAATTAGATACAAGAAATAGTCAAACACCATAATCATTATATCCATCATCATCATCATCATCTCCATCAACATCACCATAGCAATCACCATCAGTCACCATCACCATCATCACCATCATCATCTAATCTCGAGAGACACCATGTTGAAGCTATGCAAGGCCTTTGTTCTACCTTACTTTTACTACTGCTCTACCGTGTGGCATTTTTGTGGATCAAGAATCCCTGACAAACTGTAGGTGCTGAATAAGCGTATCTTATGTTTCATATTTAGAGAAATCAGGAACAGTCTTGCATTACAATAAACGTATACAAAATATGTTATTGATATGCTATGTGTGCCTTGTTGGGTGGGAATTGAAATCGGGAAGATTGGCAGACGTTAGGTGGGGGTGAAGAGCAAATGGGGAGCGAACATATTTGCCTCATCCTTAACACATGCTATATTCATGCGCGCATRGTTACGAGTATTAGTGATTATCGTCTTCTATGTACCTTGAAAAGATTAACGTTGTCGATTTGTGATGAGAAAAGAAAATCATTGATAGTCTTGAGTTGAACATCTGAAAATAGATCAATATGGTATTTTTATGATTGAATATCTTTAAGGAGACTAATAGGAATAAAGGAGAGACGATGGACAAGCATCTTGGATGGAAAGCTATTATTACTTGCCCGGTTTTGAGGCGAAGGGAGCTTTGCTTGGTTCTTGTTGTGTCAGAGGTTTGCCTAATTCTGTTGCTTTACCTGTGAGGAGAAAGGATAATTTAGGTACAACAATCAAGTATTTTTATTTTACGTATCACAATCATGAATAGGAACGCATCAAGAAGGTCGAAGACTGCGAGTCTTGGCCACAAAATGAAGGTGGGAAAAATAACAAGTGGAAAGTAAACGAAAGGAAGAAACGTACCCCCTAAACAGGATAAAAAGCGAGATAGAATGAATAGAATCTGCTTGATGTACATGACATTCTTGGCTTTTAATCTCGTTCTGGAAGCAAAAAAGAAAGATTTGAAGTAAAAAATTTAAGACGAAAGTTTCGAAGTTGAGAAAGTTTCGCAAAATTCTTCCTACAAACCTGTATCTATCGAGGTATTGTGACAGTTGTGAAAATGATCCAGATATCTGGGTAGAAAGAGAAGAATCAATTAACCAGTCAGTAACCAGTCATATTCTTATTCATGCACGCACTGTCGTCTCCAAGTTTGCTTCCCTCACGTAAATAAGCTACAAGTGATGGGAAACACTACGCGCACGAACAGTCGCCATGACACTGCATCGTCTTTGCTAAATTATCATTTACCTGTGCACCAGAGATTTCAACACTGTGTATGTTATTGATTGTTTCCAGCAGATTGTGTGCTTCGTCTATTATAACAATATTCCCCTCTAATTTGATACCACATGCTTGACGTGTAGACTTGTGTAATAACATGTTGTAAGGCAAACATACCACCTAATGCAAGAAATACAATGTACAATACAATTCAATTGGATGTCAATAAAAGTGGTTAATGCAGCACCAATTATTGTTCACTGCAAGTAACCAAGGAAACCAGCCTCATGTGCCAAATCTAGTCACAACAAGCCCCTTACAGCAATTATCAGCATCATACATGTACAGTTTGCCGTCACAACAAAATAAAATTTTGATTGATGTCAATCAAAGAGTTTACATGAAATTGTTGAAAAACAAAGTTTTCAAGGATGCACGACTATGGAATGACTTGATTGACATCCAACAAAACCTTAGTTGCAATGACGATTCCACACATAAGAGCTAATAACAGTGAGAAGACCAGAGGATTGATTCATGCAATACCTTTGCTGCAGGTATAGCTTGTCTTGTCCCATAATATGGGCAAGCATGAAGATCTTCACCCAGTGATACAAGTTGTTCTATATCTTTTATTCCTATCTGAAATGGCAGATGATCAGACTCACATTACTACTAATAATGATGATGATGATAATAATAATAATAATGATGATGGTGATGATGATGATGTTGATGAAGGTGATGAGGATGATAATGATAATGACATGATGATGGTGATGATGTTGATAATGATGATGATGATGGTGATGATGATGATGATAATAATATCTTTCATTGACAGGTTATGTCAATACAGAGGTCTTTTTTGGTTCTTAATTCTGGTAAAGGGGAATATAAACCTCTGCTTGCAAGGGCCATCATTGCTGACATGTTGGTACTTTTTTGACCATCAACATGGGTGGTATGTCATTTGACTCTTTTGGGAATGCTTGCAAATCACTAATAACATTTTTATATCCACAAAAATCAAGGTATGCAATATTATACAAATTAACTATTTTTAAAACTAACAGATAAATTAGAATAGTCAACGCGAAGCAGTTTACCAACTGAACGTGAAGACACCTACAAAAACCAAATCCAATCAAAAATCAATGATAAAGTATTAAGAAGGATTATTGTTTTTACCAGCAATTGATCTCTAAAGTTTTGTTGTTGCTTATAATCATTATATGGACATCCTGCTGTTGTCTTTTTCTTCTTTGTTACTTTTCCTGACTCTGTCTTCTCAACCTCTACTTTATCTATTTCAAAAATTATTAATAGTAATATTAAAAGTTTTGGAAAAGCAAAGCAGAAAATTCTTCACATAAAAACTCATAAAAAATATTAGATTTTAAAATTCATGACATTTCTCCTGTGGTACATGTTGTGATCTGAAACTTCACCTTCTTAATTTTTCATGTTCATTTTGACACAACTACTTGTTTTTTTTGGGGGGGGGGCAACAACTACTTGTTTGGGGGGATGGGGTAGGGTCACACACCTATTAGTATCAGAATATTCTAATCCTGTTCCATTACTAGTTATCCATTACCTTTCTTTTTGTTCTTTTGTAGTTCCAGACATCTGTCATTTATTCTGGTATTTGATTTTAGCTTCTTGACATCTTCATTAATACAAAAATTCTAATGACACATATAAAACAAGAAAAGAATGAATGATATACACATCCTGAGATCTTTTATTATCAAGACCAACCTGTCTAGAGCCTAAAGTCACAAGGCTAGTAGCTTCCCCATATGGACTTTTGATAACTTCTCTTGTAAACTGAGCCAACTGGGAATGGGTCCGACTGCAATAGTATATCTGTTATAAAGCAATAGAATTAGTGCAGGATAAATTATATGAGGGAAGGCAAGAAAGTATACCATAAAAAATTCCCTAATATACAACCCTTATCATCCAAGAATTTTGTAAAACATAGGTGAGGGAATACATGGTCATGTCCTCCCCCCCCTCCCCCCTCCTCCAGACACCCCATCACACACAAACTCATACACATATTCTACTTCTCGGCACATTGAGCAGCCAACTCAATATACTTGCCTTGGTACAATGAACTTCTTCATCCTCATCATCAGAACTGTGAATAATAAACAAGGAATTTCAATGTATTAATTAATAATCTAACTTGTGTTAAGGCTTTATTAATTGATTGACTAGTGAGTGTCCTTACCATTTATCATCATCATCATTCTCATCGTCACTATGATACTCCTTTAAGATGATATCAACATCAGGATCCTCAGCTGCTGATTTACCAAGTAAATCATCTATCTCACCCTGGATTTGGTCTTCTTTTTTACTCTCATTTGTTGTCAAAGTCTGTTCTTCACTGTGCTATACATTCCACAAAAAAAGAAGCTTCTTAATGACAAATCACTCAATTTATGATACATAAATAATATGAAAAATGATGGATAATAGAATTCATCTTTAAATAAATATTTTTCCCATATTTTTCCCATATTTCAGATCAGATATCATTCCCTTGAGTATTATTTCTTTGTTAAGTAAGGTGCTTATATACATTTCTTAAGATAAAAATTAAACAGATCATAATTGAAGCAACTCATTCATGAGAGAATGGCACATGTTGTGAAATAGGAACATTTGTGGCCAAGTAAATCATGTTTGTTTGTATGAAAAATATAGTTCTTATTATTTGGACCAACCTTTCTTTTTCCTTTCAGAACAAAGCTCTTCCTTGAATCCTGCTTCACTTGCATCAAGTGTGCCTTTTGTTTTTCAAGTTTTTCATTTTGTGCCTTCAAAAACAACAAAAATAATATGTCATCATTGAAAATATTTATAGGTTACCATAGCAACAGTATCTAATAAACAAAGATGGTTATAAATAATTCATATTATAAATATGTTTGCAGTACTTTTTGCAACTTTTTCCCATACCCTTAACTGATCTTCTAGCTCTTGTTGTTTCTTCTTTGCTCCAAAGTCTAAGACCCAGGCTGGTAGGTCTGTTGAAAACAAAGAGAAAACAAAATATAAATATATATGCATAAAGAAAAGCAAAGAAGCAAATAAAAAAGTAAACTAGTCTTACCATCATCCCCTGATTTGCTTTCATCTTTCATACTGACATCACTGAAATTTTTTAGCAAAATATGTGTGTTATTATACTGATTATTTTAATTTAGTAAAAAGGTTATAAACCTTTCATTACCTTTGATCCAAATCTTTTGGTGATAATCCTTTAGACAAATCTTCTTGTCTTTTGGCTTCAAAGTCTCTTAACCAAGTTAACGCCCCACAGATAAGGCTTAATGATTTGCCCTAACATCAAAATAACAACAGACATGACTTAAGGTGCTGACCCACGGTGCAACATTGCACACGACATTGCAAGCAACAAATTTGAATCGGGGTGACACACATTGCAACAAAATCACACAACATTGCTTGTGTCAGCCAGTTATGTTAAAATATATGGTCAGAAGTTATAAATTTGGTGCAAGCTGATTGGCTGGAAATTTCAAAATGTTGCAGGTAATGTTGCAGCCATGTTCATATGATGAAATTTGTTGCGCTTAATGTTGTAAGAGTAGAGGGCAATTCAACTTCAGATTTGTTGCATGCAACAAGTTTGGGGTAGACACGCTGCAACAGTCCAGTTTCATGCAATGTTGCATGCAATGTTGCACCGTGTGTCAGCACCTTTACAGTACTTCAGTTGTGAGTTCATTGATCATGAAATGCCAAAGGAGACCAGCTCAGGAGGCTGGGGGAGGAGGGCAGTCAGGATATATTTTTTTATACATTATGATATATACCAAATGACCTTGGTTACCCCTAACAGGTTTAAACACATCCCCTTCACCTCCCCCTTTTATTTTTTTAAGGTTTATTGGATATTATGCAAGATTACTTACTGTGCCGGTTGGACTTTCAAATATTCCAATACCTCCTTTATCAAGAACCATGTAAAGATTTTTCATGAAATCCTCTTGAATATCGTAAGGAGGGAACGGAAAAGGAAAATATGCTGGAACAGATGAACAGCTTTCGTCTTTCACGAGACATGACTCCATATTTGAATCTTTTGTCGCACTTAAACTCATTTTACGAGTCAGAATATAGCTCTTTTAAGGTCTAGAAGAATCGAACTGCTGGTTTTCGTGTATTTTGCCTGTCAACATAAAAGAATAGCCAGAAAATCCTTGAAAAACTTCGTAAAGCAAAAAAAGAATAAATTCAGCAGGACAGCAACCATTTTGTTTTTCGCGCTAAATAATAGACTCGATCCCATGGTGACAATATATACCCAGTGGGGAGGGGTTGCTCAATTTATTCAAAAAAAAATTTTTTTCTTGTGCAGAAAAATATTATTCATTTGATTTTTTTGATTTTTTTTAAATCTAAGCAATAGAAAAAGTTATTTTCATTAATTTTGTCGGTCTTTGTGGTTTCAAAGTCCAGAGCCAAAACCGGAAATCGATAGGTTTGTCTCTACCCCTCTCTCCATAGGATTTTTTAATAGACTCATGTTTTCACTCACGCAAGGGTAATATAAGACTCGACACGAAAGCGAAAGTTTTACTTTTGTTTGTTTTTAAAATCGCTCCAGCATTTTGGTTGATATTTACATCATCAGAACTGTAAACTGGTTACTAAAAAGTGCAGTAATTGAGACTAAATATGTGTCGTAGTTGCAGAACTCTAGCGATCCTTCCTGCACTGTTTGGCGTCTTTTGCTGTGCTACATTTTTGCTGACATATTGCGTCAGTCTTCACTACGAAAAAACACCTTATCCTTGGTTTCCTTCCGTGGGTAAAACCAAGAAAGCACCTGAAAGGAACGTTTTTGGACAGTTATTCAATCTGTGCAGCTTTCTACTGCTTATTACAATGTTTGTTAGGCATATTCAACTAAAACATGACGCTGATTGGAACGAAGAATCACGACCTTTAGTCCTAAGACTTAACAGGATTGCTCTTATTTTTGGTGGATTGGCTGCCTTGGGTGCAAGTCTGGTAGCTAATTTTCAGGTAAGTCAGAAGTCTTAATACAGTGAGTTGCATCGATCGTACATGAGTTCCAACTTCCTGTGATTAGTATCAAAGCAATCGAAGCAGAATCGAAACTGACAAGAACGATTTGAAAGGGGGTGGTTGTTTACGTAGAAAGGCACAAAAAAGCGTCCTTTTTCTGTTTTACCTTTTGTTATATCATTTATTCTCATCATTTCAAACTCCAAAGTTTAAATACCTGCACAATTTCTAAAGTAGTTTATTTTCAAGTATCTTTGTTAAGCACTTTTGTGTACAAACTAACTTGCATTGTCACTATTTAATTGATTGATGACTATAGATGATAACTATAATATTATTTGATATAATTTGTTTAATAATAGGTTGGATCAGTGATAGTAATTCACTTCACTGGAGAAGCAATGGTGTTCTTTTTTGGACTTGTTTATTGTTGGATTCAGACAGTAATATGTTATAAAATGAAGGTGTGTGGTGTCAACTCGTCTTGCCTCTTCAACACAAGAGCAGCATTCACTATTGCTGCTACAGTATTTTTTATTGTGTGTCTCGCTGGTGCTGGGTATGCACAGTACATAAAGGAGAATGGACAACATAATGGTAATAGTACTGTAGTGGTAGAGTGGAAGCCAGGTGTTGAAGGATTTTCCCCACACATTGTTGGAGTAACAGCAGAATGGCTGTCAGCCTTGTGTCTTTTGTTTTTTATTGTGACCTTTTATGGTGAGTTTAAAAGTATAAAAATGAAGCTAGTTGTATCTCGCCGAAGTGCCAGTCCCATACCTCTGTCTGTTTCTGATGAAAGCATGCGAACACCCCTCTTGCTGTGACGTTTCCTTGCATGTTGGGAAATTAAGTATTAATGAATCATTAGCCCTAAGTATGAATGATTGCTACTTATGCTAGCTTCAGTCAGATATGTTATATGGAAAATGACTTGTAGTTTACCCCTACAATGTGTCAAGATAGGTGATAAAGAAAATGTATTATACATATATGTGTGTCTGAGCTTTTGCCATTCTATAACATCATAACAGACCAAGAATAAGGAGAGTATATGCCTATATAAATTATATTCAGTGTGAAATTGAATATATGAAACAAACAAAAGACTTCTCTTCTCATATCCCTCTACACCCCCCCCCCCCCCCCCCCCCCCAGACACCCCATCACACACAAACTCATACACATATTCTACTTCT